TATACAGTCGTCCTCCCATACAATCACACAGTTGGGCACATAGTAAATTTTTTTAAAAATGTGCTTTTAAAAGGGTTATGCTTATATGGAGGTTTTTTTTCTTATAAATTAAAGCATAGTTTGGTCTAAATAAAATGTGATTACATATTATGTGATTGTATGGGAGGTGACTATATGGAGGGTCGACTGTATATAATTTTAAATTTTTGGTTGTTGTTTTTAATTATATTTAAATCATTATAAATACTGTATAGTTTTTATTTTTTATAATTATCTATATATATAGTTTGTTGTATTTAGTGCAGACCAGTGTTGGCACTTGGACTATGTTTAATAAAAATTTTATTTGGACTTGGACAAATATAGACATGGACTAGTTCAAATAGTGAACATGCTTATATCTTCTTTTTACCAGATTTTTCAGAATATTTTGGATGTTTATTCTAATTTTGGCTTATTCTTTCAGAATATTTCAGAGTAGCAAACCCACATGTTTGATTTGGACTAAGTGCTTTATGTTCAATAGAAAATTATGGACAATATAGACATAGTCCATAAATATCCATGTCCAATAGTCCATATTGTTTATATTCATATTTTGCCAACACTCGTGCAGACAATCTAGTTTTAACAAATAAAATTGATAAAATTTAAATTGTTAATTCTTCTTTAAAAAAAAATCGTAAACAAAAAAATACTATTTTAAAATATTAAATCAAAACAAGCTAAACACTTTCAAGTTTTTAAATTTTTTTTAAATTCATTTATAAATATTATTTTAATCAAACAATTGTATTTATTAAAAATTATTAAAAATAAGATTTAATAAATATATATATACGTACTATAGCTTAATATTTACCTTTTATAATAATATATGTATTAATACTATACGATATACCAATATTATTACGACAAAGTAAACCTGAGTTGCGAAATAGTGAAATCCACTATGATTATCACATGAGAGCGAAATCCGCTTTTATGTATATATATAATAAAACGCGGATTTCACCTAATCCGATCTACAAAACGAATTTCACCATTTTGCAAATCAGTTTTCCCCCTGTTCCATATTATTTATTTAAAATAAATAAAAATTATTAAATATTAAAAATTTATATTTAAAATTTAGGAGTTTATGTATTCTTTTAATTAAATCAAATTTAAATAATTTTTTTCATAAAGTTACATATAAAATTGTGATACATCCTTATTTGGCCAATAGGTACAACATTTATTAGAAATGCCCCTATGGCTGATATTATTTTCTTGATAAAAATTTAGATATAATATCGATATGTTGATTAACTTGTAGCATGTATTCTTGTGAAACGTGAAATTTTGATGGAGTATGCTAGGGTACAGGTAGTTATGGCTGAGGTACTCCAGTAATTGGAGTATGATCATGGGAATGAGAAATTAGTGAATTTTCATCTTCATGCTCATCTTCAATAGCATCTTGCGTTAACCTTGGAAAGTCATTATCATTCCTTTGATTTTCATCAGATAAGTCTTCGTCTCTCCCATCGTTACTAAATAAGTTTGTAGTCGCTGTATCTGTCGTTGAACTTTCAGAAGAAGCGGTATTAGTATTTTCATCTTGCGAGCTACCAGTCTGCTCTCTTTCTTCTCTATCTCTCATTTCCCTCTCTTGTTCTAAAAGACTTAATCGAATTGCTTCCATAACCATGAGTTCTTCCAGGTCGGTACCCATTCTCATAGCTGCCAAATATCCTCCATACTCGGCTGCTGCTGCTGGGGGGAGATTAGGACGTCTAGGCGGAGTAGTTGAAGGATTAGGATTGTTTCCACCCTGTGGTGGGCGAACTACAACGCGCCGTGAACCCGAAGATGTCGCAGGAGTTGGTCGTCTCGCACCAGGCGGTTGACGTAGTGGTTGTTGAAGTACACGGGATGCCCAATCTGGTCGTATTTGATCTTTAATTTGATCAATTACGTAAAAAGTAACAAATATTGTAAATTTTTTTTGTTACTATTATTTTGATTCATTTTTTTTTTATTTTGAAATTAACGTCTTCAAGCTCAATATTAGTAAATAGCAAACAAAATAAAATGAATCAATAAAAAAATTGTTTCTGACAGTTAGAATATGATTTTCTTTTTATTAAAAAAAAAAAGTTGTCTTGAAACCAATCACTTGAATAACAATTGAATTATAAAACATTGAATTACCAGTAGTAACAACATCAGAGTCTTTATAGATGCTCCTTCGCCGTGCTTTGCCGTCTGGCACATTTGGCGAAGATGATAGTGATGTAGATGGAGGAATATTCGGATTTGGAATCGCAACAGGCTAAAAAATATGTAAGAATATTTATTAAATGTATAATAAGAACTTCTACATCAATCGATAGAAAAGAAGTAGCGAATATCTACCATGTTCTCACTGCCAATCCCAGAGCTAAAAGATGGAGGTTTATAGTAGACACCAAAGTTAGGCTCTACACAATAAGGGCATACGGCAGAAGAATTGTTTGCTCCTAAAGAACCACTTTCTGGTCGCTTTATTTGAACGAAACATTCGGTACAAATTGGCTGATCACAACATCGAGAATAATTGATATTTCGTGGATAATACTATATCATTTAACATTATTTCAAGCAAGATAAAAAAAATTGAGCAAATTTAGGAAATAGCATTGGAATAGACTTTTGAAATGTAAGAATAACATCTGCTCCCATTTCGTTTCTAATTCCGTAGTTTAATTGACAAAAATATCTTTCGTAGTTCACGCGAGATCCTAATCAAATTGTGCCTTCCAATGAACCGCATAAATGCATTTCAATAATGTTGTAACAGGCTGATCTTTAATTTCGTCGACTATCTTTTGCTCGATTGAAAAAATAATCACTCACCAAAAAGCAGATTGGACATTCAACAGCACCCTTATATAATTGAGACTCTAATGTTTTTACAGTGGACGCTTCTTTGCCTTTAGTTGTTCCTGTTACATTTAATGTTGATGCTCGTTTTATTTCTCTACTTCCTTGTGATTGACATTCCCCACTAAATGTGGCACATTTCTTACCCTCACTGGCTTTTGGATGATTATGAGTTGTTAGTGTAACTTCGTCCCAACTTTCGTCATAGTCTGATAGCCCTTTATAAAAGGGAGCCAGCTTGCGTTCTATGATGAATTTGCGGACACTCCTATAGTCCCAGTCTTGAGGTACTTTGTATACACCGTTCGGGACTAATTGCCCTCCGTCCACAGTTTCTTCTCCCTTCTCTTTACCGATCGTGTTTCCCATGCTAGTTTAGTCCAGTTGGGCAAAGAGTATGTCTTAAAGTAGGTATGTTTGTTTCAATTAAAAACTTTACACGAAACAGTAAATTTTTACAGTAATATTCGATACAATGACAAGAATTTATTTAATTGTTCACGCGAAATTATTTCTAAAAAACTCAAAAGAGCAAAACGTTAGTATTAAACAGCGAAAAGAATTATTTTTAAAAAAAAAAATTTAAATCAATGTCTGATATGTAATCATTGCGAAATAATATTTGAGAAGTAATTTATTCTTTAATTGCGGCGTATTAGAAATTTTTAGCCACCCTGAACGGTGAAAACTATACACGTCACCCATAAAGTCCCGTAACGTGATAATCTTCCGATTTTGTGCCAATCAGAATAAAAGATCTTTTAATTTAAAAAATTTTAAATTGGTTGGCAATCGATTGACAGAAAGAAATGTCAATCGATAAAATTGACAACAAAGCTGCTAAATAAAACCGATTAGAATCGCTTTGATTGAAATCGATTAATATGAATAGTTTGGATTTACAGTATACTTTTGTACTAGTTCTATATCAGATAAATCTTTCTTTAAATTTTAAATATATA